CCCCCCCCCCCCTCCCACCTATCCGTGCCTCCGTGCCTATCTTCGAGGGTAATTTCACCTATCTAAATCTTATAAGGCACCAAGACACTGTGCATTCTGGTAGAACATTGCCTCTGTAATGCTAAATATCCTCTTTGCTGCTCGCGCTGCTTTTGCTTTTTCGGTGTAAGAAAAGTCTCTGGTGTCGAAAATGCTTTCGACGGGCTCCTTCACACCTGCTTTACACAAACAGAGCACAAGAAATCTTAACATACATTACACGAGAATATAGAAGAATATTGACCTTCTCAAAAAATATAATTCGTTAAGGTTGTTTCAAAGATTTTGTATAAAAGAATTCATAAACAGTGCATCTAAAATCGGCGAAAACTTGCCCAACAATCCAATATATTACGCTCAGCCTTGACCCACGACCTTGATGTGAAGTACCTCGAAGTTCAGGAGCGTGCTTCCTCTCTACGAGAAATAGCGCTCCACTCCTCAGCTCATTTTGAAAACGACCTGAGTTCTCAAAAAGCTCTCGAGCGCATTGTCGTGTGTTTATAAACTTTATTTATAGGAATAGCGAGCCAGGCGCAGGTATTGGGTGCGTTTGAGTGGAATAAGACGATTCCATCGTCGAAGGCTTTGGATGCTCTGCTCGTGCAAACTGGATGTTGCTATGAAGCTCGAGGATCTGGTCACTTATACGCGGAAAATCGAGAGAGCATTGTGGCAATGATGAGTGAAAGGTAACTAGTGCATTTTTTTTTTGAGCTGTTCGAGCAATAACGCCGAGATTGACTGTTTAGGCTGAAGGGCGTTCGTTTGGTTGGTGATGATGCTTCTTTGGCGCTGCGTGTGGAAGCTGGCGAGCTGCATCCGCTTCAGATGAGCACGAACTACTACGGCGCTGTGTTCATAGGTCTCCCGAACGGCACTCATCAGGTCCAAGTGATGAAAGATGGAAAACTCTATGCACAATTCAAGGTTGAGGTTAGTCTGAGTGTTCGGCACGCGACTTATTCTTTATTATTTTTTACTTATCACCACTTTTTTTGGAAGCAGTCATAGACTAATCATTTCCTCTAGTGCTAGTTAGTTTGTATTTCCTTTTTTAGTTATTCACTGCAAAAAATTGAAATAGCAATAATTAGTCACAAATTGCGTCCTTACTGGGTCATGTCATTATCGTTTCCTTTTCTTTTGCAACTTTTATAAGAGCGATTAAACAAAGAAGACTATTTTCGTAGCAGCCTCTTAAACCGTAGTCTACAGTGTAATAACTAACGCTACGACGATCAGCTGACTGATTTTCACCAAAGTTGCTCCAATGCGAACGCTGATGCTCGGCAATTAGATTTCATAGCCAGCCTAACGGGCGTGTGACATTCACACGATACCATCTCTGTCCCCTTATTGTGCCCTATTCAGGGCATTTTTTGACTTTGTAACCGCATGTATGGTAGACGGGGCCTCGATTTCATACTATGGGAAAATCTCAGAAACCATTTTTATCGTGAACTGTGCCTTAAACCATTCCGTACCGCGTGTTGCGCATGGTGGAGCACGCCCTTTTGACTCTGCATACCCGCTTTTTGGTCAAAGTCACTCTAGAGTGTGGATAAAGTTCGTACAGGACATACTTTGCGATTTTCTCGCAAAGCCTCTCTGTGTGGCCGCGTGCTGCACGCCGTGAGTCACGTCGCCGCGTAGATTTTGAAGTGTGGCACCCGCGCCACGCGCAAAAACACTATGGTACGCAATGAGCGAAAAGCTGATTTTCGATGTCATTTTCAGATAACGAGTTCGACTCCTCTTGTGGAAAAATGGGTTGAATTACATCACTCCTTATGGCGGAACAATGCTGCCGTGGTTGCCGCGCTGGTGTTACTTATGATGATGGCTTGCGTGAGTTTTTATCTGAATTTAAGCATACCTTCCTAGCTTCGTTCTGATTTTCATTTTCTCTTGTATGCTTGAAACATTGGCTAAACCTAACATGGAACATTTCCGTTTCGGCTGAACTCTCAGGGGAAAAGATTTAAACGAAAAAGTAGATCAGATGATAACAATAATCGCTCAAAAAGCGGCTGCTCGTTAAATGTTATATGAACTGGGTTAGAAGCGATCTGTCTTAATGTCGGAGTTCGTAGCTCAGGAGCCAAGCATGTTGCTATTTGATTGACCATGAAGTTAAATGGAATAACGTCTATTAAGCTGGGCTCTGCTTCACCACCATAAGCAGGTACCACAATAGAGGCCAGGAAAAAATCAACAACATTATCACTAAGCGAATGATAAGGAAGCGTGGTACGAGCTGCAAGAGCCTGCGTGATGAGTGGAAGTTCATCCGGATCCTATTATGAGGGAAAAGAGCAGGGCCAGTAGTAGGTTGCACCAATATTCGGTTAGCAGAGTGACGACTCGATTGGTACCCTTTGTTTGATGTACCCTCCGATCTCCAGCCTCATTTGTTTGGGAAATAGGTCATTCAATCGTTGCTTGTGGTTGTTCCATTTGCCCAACAAATGGGCAATGAAGCAACCAAATATTTCAAGGAACTCCATTTGAAATAGTATTGCCTTGACGCCCTTCTTTTTGTCAATTCATTGATTCATTCAGCTCTCTCTTTATTTTCCCGTTCTTTTTTAGAAAATTTTCCCCCGGTTTTCCTTGCACACTTCACTGGTAAACTCTTATAATTTTCGTTGTTCTACTGTTTCTATCCTGAATAAGTGTACTGCGCCAAAACTGTCTTGAATGACCTCCTTCTAACGGAAACTTCTACTGGGTGTTTGCAGTCTGCTCCGAGGTAATTGTGATGAGCACCCTGTAGGAACCGACTACTCTTCATATCCAAGTCATTTTAGGATTTTCCAGTGCCACTACCTCCATGCGGAGAGATATACTGGAGCGGTTCACACTCAGCGCTCGGTTTTTACCCCGGTCCCTGATGAGTTTGAGTTTTTACAGTTTTTCTGTTGTCGTCAGCGGGTCACATCTGTACTGAATCGACGTGGTTTCTTCACGGGCAGTCGGGAAGGATTCGAGCGAATTCCTCTGTACAAAAGTGATGACGAAGACGAAGAAGACCTTTTCGATCTACAAAAGTTATAACGATGTTTCAGTCGTAGTTTAGCGAACGTAGAACCATTCTTTCCTATAACCTCCTGAAAACTACCCTTTACAATTTAACTTCTAACTGAATAATATCGATATCTCCTCACAAACTATTTCTATTTTGAATATGTTTTCCAATTTATTTATGTTCGCCGTTTATGCCTTATTTTTTGGTTATTTTGATCTTTCTTGTTGACTATTCTTTGTTACTATTTACTAATTCGCCTTAATTAATATGGTCAATGTGACCATACCGTTAAGTGCCACTGTGATATCGCTACTAAGCATAATTTTTTTATAGCTTCTAAGCTAGTAATAACTACAAGTACAGATTGGTTCAGTGCCTTCCAAAAATATACCAATGTGATGATTTTCTCTGCTTCACTTACGCATTAGACATATTTCGTTATTTTGATGATGCTTCGAGCATTCTGATGAGCTGAGCCTACTATTTATAGTAGTACTAACTTGTTTTATTCGCAGTGTGTGGTGCCTATGATAGAAGATTCCTCTCACTTTTCATTTTCATATCGTAGTATGCTGTACGAAATTTGCTGTTTGTGAATAAACGGTTACTGTTCTTGTATTCAGTTGTGTTTTTTGATATGGTCGGACAGATTTGCTGTGAATATTACACTTGACGTCGTAATCTCCAATGAGTTTCCGAAATGAAGAACTTTCTGGTATGGTAAGGTAAAATTACTGATAACTGGTGTTGTCAGCTCCGCCGGCGGCCTTGAGTGGTAGTTACGGCTTAGGGTCCTCCACATAGGGGGGTTCACAAATTATGGGCACCTGTTCATTGAATTGTATCGAAAATCTAAGCTGAGAATGACAATGGAAGCGAATATATGCACGCCTGCTTACATTATGTGCAATAATAAATTACAATTACACCTTGAGGGACAAATCACGATAATTTTGGATACTCCAAATTATGACGAAAAATAGAAGATGGAAAATAGTGTGATGAAGGCGAGGAAACGGCGTGGATCAGTGTTTCCAGAGTAAAAAAGGGCTCCGAAAAAACCATTAAAGAGGGAATGGACGAGAATGAAACCAGAAAAATGAAGAAGAATTGGGCGTTTGGACAAGCTATAGTCATGCGTGTGGGTCCTGGTGCGAATAGCTGACTACGGTAAGCAGAATTCATATTCAGAAACCATTTTTGTCGTGAACTGTGCCTTCAAAGTGTCCCTCATAGAAAGGATAGAGCCCTGAAGCCTGTTCTAAACCCTCGCATGTTGCACGTAAGTATCCCTCGACAATTTCTTACCAGCCTGTTCTTGAGACTTGCTTACAAGGACTCCGAACTGATTAGGGCGAATCGATAGGTTCCCCCTCTAAATCACTGACCACAAGGAAAAGTCATGTGGGTTCTTGCTGGAGAAAGCGCTGAAAGGATGCGTGTTTCATTTCTGTAAGCTCCCGAGTTAAATAAGCAGGTCAGATGGGAATTACGATCAGAATCTTTTACTAGTTCTAACTCCGGAAAGACCCCGTCCTGGTTCCTCCTTGATTATTATGCTCTTATGCATCGTTTGATAGCCTTCTGCAGGCCATTATTGGGGCTGCAGAAGAAGAAATTATGATGTCCTTCCTCCTCTGGTATGCGAACGATTGCAAGAAGCATCAGATGAGCTTTAATCATAAGATCCTGCCTGTGCAGATTGCACAACAACCTACTCGTGCAACTAAACAACAGCGAACGAAATGTATTTAATGAGTTATCTTCGCTTTAGCAGTTTCTGAATTCTGGCGCTCCCAATTTTGGAACACTGCACCACCTCCGCTCAGTTAGAAAATAGTTATTTTATTTGATGTCATGATAAAGAGATGTTCAAAACTAATATCTCTTTAAGAACCTGCATGTTATCTTGCCATCCCGTGTCGTGTTCAAAACATCCATTGCTCGGTCGAAGAGGATTCTATTAGTGAGGAACTGAATTTAGCCTGGGTTCCACCAGGCACCGTTTGTCAGCAACAACGCGAAAGTGATTGTTAGATGCTTTCCTTTTTTTAAAGAATGTTGGGCGTGACTATAAATTATGGACTTAGTTATAGGTTGCGCCATATAATTATTATTGAAGCCAAAATGGTATGGAATGCGAAGGATTTAACAAGAAGAGCGAAGGCAAATGCTTAATTACTCTCATCTCGGTGGGTTTTCGATCCGTACTCATTCTTGGCCGCATTCCTAGAAACTTATCTGTTGAGAGGGTGTCCGTAGTATGATTTATGCTAGTCATGCCGAACTTCTGGGGCCTGATTGGGAATAACCTTCTGTTTCTCGCCCTATAAATGTCACTCGCGCCCGGATTTACTGCTCATTGGCGTCTGGTCTGCAAAGCCCAGGAAGGTATAAATACAAGGCAGGCCTTTCTCATTCTACTTCCCCTAGACGTACTCAGCTGCTGTCTTCCTCACTCCAATTCTTCCTTTCCCTTTTTCAATTTGAAAAAATACAAATACTCGTATTTCAGAACGTCTAACCATGAACGGGAGGAAAGTGTCTGACTACACCCCATTGCGCCACGACCTGCCTCTTGAAAGCGAGTCGGACTCGTGTACAACGACAGACGGATATTACTCGGACTTAAATGGCGACGACACTAGTGAAAAAGTAGGATCTTCCTTCCTAGAAAATTTTTTGCACTTCAGATACGACCTTTGATTTTAGGGTCACTGCCAGAACTGCCTCAGCAAGGAATTGTTCGAGAAAAAGATTTCCGACCTCGACGCCGCGATACAAGCAGCTCAACAAATCGCGCTGGCCAACGCAGAACAATACAAGAAGGCTTTCCTAAAACGCCAGGGAATAAGTGAAAAATACGAAGAGTTGAAAAAAGAATTGAACCGAGCCTTGTACCTTTTAGGGGTGAGTAAAATGTCGCTTTGCAGTCATTTCTATTTGCTAACAAAGCGTATTTAGGAAGTTCTCTTTAAAGAGGACCAAGTTAGTCGACTTCGGGTCGATTTCCTCGTGGGACGCCATCCTCAACTGTTCACGAAGCTGGCAGGAGCGCCCACCTTTCCAAAATGATGTGATTTCATTTCGTTGATAAATGGTGTAAAGAAAAAATTGTTTTTGTGCTGTCACACGAGGTTGTTATATCCTGATACGTGGTAATTTAATTCATCTTCGAAAACATTTTAAGTAACTCTTGGCTAGAATCCCCGGATCGACAGACGAACGGCTTTCATGCAGTCATGCTGGAGCAGGGATCATTGTTAGAAGGCGTGCAAACTGAGAAAAACGTTGTCTTCGGAGACGATATGCAAAAGGGCTTAAGGGCACAGTTCACGATAAAAATAGTTTCTGAGTTTTCCCTATAGTATTTACGCGAGGCTTGCCCTTATACCATACCTGTCGTTACAAGGTCGGAAATGTCCTGGATAGGGCACAATAAGGACCGAAAGATTGTATCGACGAATGGCTTTCATGCAGTCATGCTGGAGCAGGGATCATTGTTAGAAGGCGTGCAAACTGAGAAAAACGTTGTCTTCGGAGACGAATTGTAAAAGGGCTTGAGGGCACAGTTCACGATAAAAATGGTTTTAAGATTTCCCTATAGTATGTATGTACGCGAGGCTTGCCCTTATACCATACCTGCCGTTGCAAGGTCGAAAACGTCCTGTATAGGGCACAATAAGGACCGAAAGATTGTATCGTGCGAAAGCCACACCCATAGTGGACGACTTTCAAAGGCTTTGAAGAGGCTGCACTATCTCAATGTAGGAAGTTCAAACAACTTGTCATAATTCATGGTGACAGTGAAATGTCTTTTTGGGCAATATCGGCTTAATTATATCATCTCTTTGAGTGTTGGGAGCAAGTCAAATCTTGACCTCGTACAACCCCCCTTCCACTGCTTTTAAAAAGCCTTGAAGTGGGCGGATTTTTTCGCTTTCTTTGCCAGCGATGTACTCCTCTACATCGACACTTCCGCTTTTCATCCTGGAAAGAGTACCTCAAAATATCGTGAACTGTGCCTCTAATAATCTTTTCAACTATCCTAACGAGACGAGGCTAGAGCATACCGTCCTTACAATGACAAAAAATCGGGTAAATTTTTATTTTTATAGATCTATTTAAATAATTGTCTACCACACTGATAAAGTCAATATGCATAAAAGAAATAGTATGACAGAAAAACTTCACGGCCAAATTAAGCAATAAATAGCAATTGATCGCCACATGGGCCAAGTTGTTCATTGATGGAATACCGATATAGTACAAAGTCAAGAGATAACCGAGATCCTCTTTTCCGACTAGAAAAGAGCCCGAGTGAAGAGAGCGGCGGGCGAGATCGAAATTTTACAAAAAAGGACAGAATGCAGTTCAATAAGGACAACAGTATGCACATACATAAATATCGAATGAGGAGAAGCATAAGGGGTAACGGTACTGTGCAGAAGTTCGATTTCAGTCAGAGCGAAGTGATCATAATTGATGGAATGGGTGGGCGCAAGCGTACTCAAGTGAGAGAAAAGAATTAAAAAAGATTAGGCTGCTAATCATCCTGATAGGGAGACATTTCATGCTTCTTTTCTGGGTTCCAATTTTTCCCAGGTAATCAATAAATTGATATAGTGGAATATATTGCGGTGCAAGTGAACTAAGCTACAGCCTTGACATAGTCAACGTCAACAGAAAGCTTCCAGATCATTTTCGCATTGCTGCCACAGAGATTGCTGAGAAATTCTCGTTTTATCTACGATTCTGACTATAAATGCCTTATTTGAGGTGGTTGAGCGCATGCAGCGATGAATGGAAAGCAGGTGGCGACGAGGCTGGTGGACAAGGCCAGGGGCTCGTCACTGTCCGAACGACTTGCCAGGCCACTACTGTTTGTTAAATCCGAGGTCGGGAGCACCGGCTGCGCTGCGAAAACTGCACACAACGCTACGCGAGTTCGGTGCCTGAGTTGGGCGAATCGGAACCATCGGCGTCTCGCGCTCCTCGTCGTAGCCGCCAGAGCGTATTTCACGAAGGCGATCGAGCTGAAATGAAACAGTCAGAGGAAGAAAGACGAATGTAGAATTAACCAGCTAAGATATCGTATAGGAGGGAGTTGAACAGCCTGAGTACCGATTAAGGCACTAGCAAAGAGCGGCAGAGATATATGGAAAGATTGTTGCGAAAGACGCTACTTTTTTGCAGATATGGTCAGAATGATTTACTCATTTATTGATTGCTTTTAGAGTAAGTTTTTATCAGTAGGCTGATCTGAATAGACATTTTTTCAGATGTTTATTATAACATCGCCGCTGACGAATGGACGATGCCGCATAAATAGCGAGGTTGCGAACTTAGGGCGCTTTTTTTGCCACAGCTTGTCTTCTGACGAGATCTCTCCGTCTGACGATACCGTACTGCAATAATATCGACGATCCTGCCAACAATTGTTCTATTATTACTTGTATTCTTGAAACCTACGTTTTAAATAAAGACTACGTATCTATCCGAAGTGAAGGAACAATATCAGCAATATATCGACTAATAACATCGATACAGCGTATCAATATCTTTAGAGGAGCTTCCAAACGATCCAGTAAGTGCATCCAATATATAAAACGGAAACAATATATCGATAACACTGGTTTTAGGAACATCCGCCTTATTATCGATATAACCTTAACCCACTACCAGTAATATCAGAAACCGCGTGGCCAGTGGATCTATGCACTGATAGGCGAGCCTTCAATCTCTACAAAGATCAAGAAAGGAGGTGAACGTGAACTGCAGAGAAACGATGATGCAAAATGGAGAGAGAGGGCTTTTTCTGGAAGGTAAGGGTAAAGGAAGTGAAAAGAAGGAATCGTAGTCAAGGGCAGATACGAGAGTGAGCATACTGTAGAAAACAACAAGCAAAGAGGACAAATCACTGAGCAAGTCTAGCGTCACCCAAGGGGAACGGACCACGACTGGTTCCGTACTCCCACGACAAGGGGCAGTGGGCTGTCACAATGGACTGGCAAATAGTGGATGCCTTCATCCAAGAATGAGTTGCCTTTTTTGATTCTTTATTTCAAAACAGCGAATCCCTCCTTCTTTGCCTACGTCTTCGATGTAGGGTAAAGATGTACAGAAAAAATAACACGATTTCCCATGGATATAATAGTGCCCAGCTGCTTTATTAGGATCTCTTGTTGGAAACAACAGTAGGAATTGTATAATTTCGAAAACACGCTCAGTTAACCCAACCGGGATGAGAATGAAAAGGACGCGGATGATGACATCTGAAATCTCTCTTTTTCCAATCTAACCCTTGGTTTTTAATTGCTTTCGATCGGTAGCAGTCCGTTGAAACTATACCATTGCGACCCCGCTCATACACCGCGCATGCATACGGGAACGCAATCCAATTCGGAATGAGGAGAATATTAGTCTCTAGGGAGCAATAATGCCGTTTATTTTCGTATTTTCGTTGGTAAACACTCATCACTGTTTTGAATGATGGTTACAATAATGAAGCTCAATTGTTTCGACGAGGTAATGAATGGTGAAATCCCGTCGAAACATTTGAGCTGAATGAGGATCGCGATAAACGGGGATACCAGAATTTCTAAAGTCAAAAACCTCGAAGACCAAACACGTCTCGCGCATCCGCTGGCTGTAGATTTTGGTCGCGACAGATAACTTTTTGGAGGGCACGTGAGCTGTCATCAACGTGCTGCAGGAGGGCAGTTGTCGTTTGCAGGGAAAATTTTAAAAAAACAATATGAAATGCTGACGAGTAGCGAGAGTCCGAGCGAATAAGATAGGGAGATCGGATGGCATCAGCGGATGGGTGTGGATCAGAAGCCAATGCAATCCCCAGATGATGATTCTCAATAATGAAGATGCTGCGCTCAGTTTAAAAAAATGTTCGAAGCGAGCATCGTAACAAGCTCCCAAAGGATAACGCCATGGCTAATGTGGACGCCCTAGTTTGTAATTGCCCTATTCACCCGCAGAACTGGCGAAAGCCACGGTGATCTTGACAAAGACAGACGGCAAAAAGGTGCCTATCAATTAGCAAATAGAGTCGTAGGCTCTTGCAATTTTGCTTGTTGGAGAGATGATTTTCCCACCTGATATGAACTGATAGGTAGCGCTGAGCGGAACACTAGCCACTGAACTGTCTCACGGTAAGGATCCACCGTCTCCGATCCCTCATACATCCAGAACTCTTTCGTTTTCTCTGAAAAAAGCAGTTTACGTCTGTTGACTAGATAGGCAATTTCTTCTCGAATACTCCGCACTAAGACTTTTGAATCAAACACTGCCACTCTGTGTATGGGATAGTTGTTTAGATAGCTTTGTTGGTAGCGACACTAGCCAACGTTTACCAGTCACTTATTTTCGATTGGGCGGAGTTGGGGTAGTGGCAATTGGCGCACTGTCTCACACGCACGGTCAGGGGTTCGAATCCCGAATCGATATCCGCTTGGGCCAACCAAGTTTTCAAACCCTCCGGGGTTGCTTAGTAACAGACTCGTCTGGGAGGATAAAACCACAGACTTGTACATCGGCTGACCAAAGCAGGTCATTGTATAGGGCGCATACGCACTCATACGCCTCTACGTTATGAATGGAAGTCGAGAGCGAGGCGCATCCCTCAGACGGGATTGATTAACGCCAAAAAACTTTATCCTTTATTTTTGAATCTTCAAGGGTAACTTCCACAAAGTCTCGACGGGCTGTCAAGGCGAGAAGCAGAGGTGGAAGAGGATTACTCAGGAGGAAATTCATCGGAGCTATGATTGCTCCCGAATCGCAATCGAGGAATATCCCGCCGATGGTCAGGCTATTAAGCATTTCGTTCATATGCTCCACATTTTCGTGGCTTCCCCTATCCATAAACAACGTAAAATGGTGAGTTTTTCATTGGCATGGAATACTCATGAAGATGGGAATCAAAGCAGATTTCCGGTGAGATTTGTTACC